TTTGTAACTTTTCATTTTTGAAAGGGGCCTGATCTTATACCTGTATTTGAACAGCATCATCCTTTAACTAATACTTTCCATAAAAATAGTAGAAAAGCTTATGTAGTGAGTGAAGCATTGTTTTCCTGAAAGTTTTAATAAACTATATATTCCGTGTTCAGACTGGCTCCTATTTAACAAAATACTTTAGTTCAACACTGAGAATTTAAGCAATCTTTCCTTTTTCAGAAAAGAATGACCTTTTTGTCCCATTAGTGACACCTTGGTCTGTGTAGTATCAAGTATGCACCGAAGTTTGTTGTTAAGTCGGAAACTGAGTGAGGTCCTCTCTTTGACAGGTCAGACATCAGTCAGAAATTAATCTCTTACCCAGACCTAAATGACTATAAAGCCAAGAGCATTCAGTAGCAGAATAAGACTTACTGTTCTCTGTCTTACAGAAGTCAGGACCGTCAGTGAACTACAGCCACCCAGGAGCTGCTGTGGTAACTGGTTTATCAGGGTGTCCCTTGGAGGTCTAAACTGGGCTAGAACAATTTTGCCACTACCATGGGTTAGTACAGGTACACTGATGTACTTGTCAAGGGAGATGCCATAAAGGTTAATTATTTAAATCTGACCTAAATTTCCCATGCTTCTATCTTGTTCCATAATAATAATAATAATCAGTTCCACATTAATAATTTGTTATTTGGACTAAAACTAGGATTAAACATGTCCCACACTGGAGAAGTAGTTTTTTCCTCACTCTTCATTCCAGCTGTGGTATGTAAGTAGGTGCATAGTGCTGCCCTTTGAAACTATACTCCATTAAATAACATTGAGATATAAAGAGCATATTTAGTTCCATGTGGGTATAGTCAGTCCAAATGAACATTTCTGTTCTGTATCCCCTAATCTGTAGAAGAGAAGTATGTTGAAAATGTCTGCAGGCAGTCCCTTTTGTATCATATGTATCAGGAACTGAGGTGAATTGGGGGGTGTGTGTGCATGTGTGAGTATGTGCAAGCACGTGCAACAGCGACAGGGAGAAAGTCACCATAATGCATTCTGCAGAAAAATGGGGTTTATCTAGAGACTAGTAAAAAATAATTTTGGCAGCAGAGAAGCCCTGAGTGAGGTAGCTTTATGTTTGTTCCTTTGTTGCCCATATGGTAAAGTCTCAAGTAGAATATCTAAAATAGTCATATCTAAAAGCCAGAAGAAGAAAAAAAAGACCTCTCCCTTAGTTCATATTGCATGGGGCTGTCTGGCTGGAGGCCAAAGCCATGACAGCTTGCATTGTGGCAGGGAGAGCAGCGCGACTCCCTGATCAAGGTCAGCAAATTTTTAATGAACAGAGCTTGATTACTGCTCCCTTTGTGGGAAAAGGTTATTTGGAGGTGAACAAGGCTCTGTGCACAGAGGTATTCCACACACGCCTGCCTTTGCTCTCAAAACCAGACGAGCTGGAGCTGTCTCCAGGACAGTTCCTCACAGCTGGGGAACGCCTTCCTGGGAAACAGGCACAGCCGCTCTGTGAGCTGTGGCTGCTGCATCCTTCTCTCGGCATGCGGCATCCGCAGTCGATAGTCACTGAGACCCTGTGAACACTTTCACTGTATCATTTCATCTTGTCTCTGGCATGGTAGGGCCCCTCAGCTATTAAAAGGCTTGCCCTTGCAAGGTTTTGCATTCCCAGACCCAGGGTTGCAGGGCTGCTGAGAGTGTTTGGCTGGTTTGGCATTCAAATCCAAGCCTTGTCCCTCTAAATCATCTGTCGAGTTTTCTAGGACATCCTCTTGTTACAGAATGGATTTGGGGTAAAATCAGTCCTGCTGCAGTCTCAAGGGCATTTTATGATTTGAAATTAGCAGGACCAGAATTTCAAATGTAGGTTCTTTCCAGAGGAGGGAGTCAAAACTGAGGGAGAAAGTTGAGTTCTGGTATTAGGGGTTGTCATAAGAGCTACAGCCTTCCAGAAATGTCAAATTCCTCAGACAGACTATGGGTCAGAACTTTCCATTAAGCTTCTCCTCTGGAAGCAGATCTGCCTGAAGATCAGATGACAAATACCAGAAAGCAATGCTTGTTTACATACTCAAATTTAAACTAAGAAATTTGCAGTCACGTTTATGTTTAAAAAGGGGCTTCTAACAGTTCTTTATGGAGAGGCAGCACCATTTGCTTTTACAAAGTAGTAAGCAGAACCTTTTCTCTGGTATTCGTAGCCTATTTGAGAAGTACTTTTCAGCATCTGTGGGCAAAGCTGTTTAAAAACAGTTGTCTACAAAAATAAAGTCAGAAAGCTATAAAACATTTTTTATCTTGGCAGACCAAAATAATCTTTTCCCAGTATTTCAGGAAGACTGACATTCCCAAAAGTTCATTAGCTTGACTGTTTTGTGGAAGGGTTTTCTTTTTGCCTTTAATCTTCTCCTGATATTGAGAATGACTTTGTTTATATCAATACTGGGCTATTTTTTATCACTCCATGTTTAGATGTTAGCTCTCTTATTGACCTTTTTAACTAAATTTTGTTTTGAACAAAAAAGCAATGGATTTGGTGGTTTTAAAAATAACAGCTTTGGTGTTAAACAAGATTCTAGCCAGTGGGATTTATAATCTAATTCTTACAAGAGAAACAGAGTTTTGATGTTAAGAGCTTGAGCACTTCTTTGTCCTTACAGAGTATTGTTGTAAAATCAGAAAGTTCTGAAGTCATTTTTTTTTAACTCGATGTTTTCCTTTGTCAAAGAGTTGAAACATATTCTGTTCCAGCTTGCTGTTGATTTGCAAAGTATTTCTTCACCCTCTGCTGTAGAAAAGAATAATACATATTTGATGTCTTTCTCCTTTCCTCCTTAGTATTACAAATAATTCAGCTAGACTATCTCCATCAATTGGGTAAGCGGAGCTCTAACACCTACTTAAGGGAGGGAAGCCATCTGGTTTCCTCGCAACCTGGAGCCTGCTGCCAGATCTTGGGTTGTACCAATTTAGAGCATGATGAAGTGGGAAATAATGGACATTCTTGAAGAATCTGAAATGGGATCAGCTGTTATTGGCAAAAATTGGCAGGTGCAGTGCACCACGCTGGCTGTAAGCATGGTCTCAAGTTGGAGAGTGCAGCTGGGAAGCTGGCCTGCTAATTGAATGGTTGCAGGACACCCAACAGCTCTGACAGTAGTGGAGCATCATTAATTGGAGGCTCTTGGTGGACTTAGTGGAAGCTATCACAGAATGAAGTATCCTGCAAGTTGATGTTTGCTTTCTTGGTGCTGGTGTGTTTATTTCCTGTTACTTGCAATGAGTCCTCATGGAGTCAGAAGGGCTTTCAGACTTCAGAGGACTGGCATAAGGCTAGCAATATTTCTAATTTATATTTAGAGCATGGTGACAGTGGTCAGGAGTCATAAAAGCTTCGCAATTACAGATTTGTTTAACTGCATACTTCTATTGTTATCTTTCCCACCCCTCTCTTTTTCCCTTTTACTTTCACTTGTGTTCAGTTTCTAAATTGGCTTGGCTCAGAGCCTGAGAAGACCTTGTCCTTCACCAAGTTTCTTGGATGCTGCCATAATTCATACAGTGGTTATAAAAACAAAAATAGCCTGATTTTGGTCCAGAATAGTATAACACGCGCCTCTGGTTTATGTGGCTCTCAGAATAGCGGTGTATGCAAAAGCACTTGTGCTTTAGCTGTGGCTCCCTTTTTCGTATGTTGTTTGTATTCTTTAAATGCAAACATATTACGGTGCATCCTAGTTTAATATAAAGGTCTGTTGGCAAAATGTGGCATTTTCTCACAGCTGTTAGCACCCCTGAAGGGAAGATATGTTGGCAAGGAACACTATGCAGAAAGCGCTGCTGACTTCTGAGTGCACTCCATGTACCATCAGTGACTGTAGCACCCCTGTGCACCTAAAAAGTCTCCAGCTATGTAAGGTGTAGCTTTCCTGTATGAGCTATGGTGGCTAGAAGGTAAGAAGCTTCAGTGACAGGGCTGTCCCACCCTGCATGCCTTTGACATTTATAGGCACAAGGTTGTCTGTGAGTATGGATTGAATGAGGAACAGTGGGCTGAAAAATGGCCTGAACGTCCTGGTGCTCTGCTGTCTCCATGGGCTATAGGCCAAATTTTAAGTGCTCTGGGACGAGTAATGAGTCCAATTTTTCAAGTTGGATCCCAAGCACATCTTGGAGTGGACATCCTGCTCTTGCCCAGCTGAGGTGACAGCTGGAAAAAATGCCTTCAGTTTGCAACTGTGTTTGGATAAACTATGTAAGGTGGGAGATAGGGAGATGAAATTGGAAGGATTTGGAAGCTTTATCCCTGGATCAATAGCCTGCATTGCAAATGTCAGGCGCAGGCCTGTGATGGACCTGTGAATAGTGAGACATCAATGAAGAGGCTCCTTCTTCCTTCCCACAGCTCTGCCTCTGCAGCCTGGGACAAGCTCTTTTGTGGAACATCATGTTTTTTAAAACTTGTGGCTTGATGTGCACCAATTTGTGGTGCCTGGTTCTAGCCTAACTATCCTGGATGCTTACTCTGACCCTCTTTTAATTTTCTGGCCTTAAGAAGTGGATGGAAATTAAAAAAAATAAAATGAGCATCACCCTGGAGATAGACAGGCTTGGGGGCAGATTTTTTGAAACAAAATGTTCTAGTGTGCCTTCTGGGGACCTGCCTGGTCAACTGAGAGATGGTGGACAGATAATGAAACCAGGCTGATTTTGGTACCTGTGCCACCCCCTTTGCCAGGGCAGGCATGCGCAGCACACTAGACCCCGCTCCACCCCAGGGAACAGCCAACAAATTTTGGTCCCCAGCATGATCCCCTTGCTGTGGCTGGGGCTAGGATAGGCCACTAGGAAAGGATTGTGATATTTTGGGGAGGAAGATGCGGGCAGGTCAAGGAGATATCATCAACAAGCTGTGATGGGTTGTTAACGTCTCCTTGTTTCTTCCTTTTATTAGTCTTTATTTTAATCTTTCCCTTTTCCTCCACGCACAGCTGAATGAATCTGCCAAGCAGCTCATCGAGATGGACAAGACGTGCTCGGCTGCCGCCTCCGGCTCCGACCTGCCGCTGCCGACGGATGCCAGTGGCAGCTGCGGCAGCAGCAGTGGGTCTGGCACCGTGCTCCACACTAGCTGGGGCTGGGGTGGCCGGGGTGGCCCAACGTCAGGCAGAGGGCAAGAAGAATGCCAAGAAGCGTCATTCCTTCACTGCCCTCAGCATGACACACAAATCCTCCCAGGCCGCCAGCAACCGGCACTCCATGGAGATCAGCGCTCCCGTCCTCATCAGCTCCAGTGACCCGCGGGCAGCTGCCAGGATTGGAGATCTGACCCACCTCTCCTCCAGTGCCCCAGCCCAGGTAAGGCAGGGCTGGAGGCGGGTTTTGGGCACCCTTGGTAGACGGCTTTCCGTTGCCTCACCTCTTACAAAAGGACTGGTTGCAGGGCGCTCTTGTCCCGATGTGATGGTACTTGGCATCTGTTGTTCCCATCCTTGCATTAATCAGTGGGCAGGCGTGAAGAGCTGGAGGATGAAGCCAAATTTCATTCACAATAATGCAGTACTTTTTTTAAATAAAAAAAGAGTAATCCTACAGTTTGTTTGAAGTAATGCAGATTATGTCACATCACTTCTTGTTGTAGAGAGGAAAAATTTTGAGTGATCCTGTTACCCTGAATGTATCTGTTACCTTGCAGTGTAGCAATGTTGGTATGAAATTCACATATTGGGGATAAAAATATTTTTGGAGTAATTATTTCCTTACAGATGACTGGAGGATGAGCAAATGTGCCATACTTTGAATAGTACCCTGTGAGTACTTGCTGCTCAGAAGCACCCAAGGAGTTTTCAAATCATCAGACGTGCCGAGGGTGCAGTCATCCATCCTTCTAAGCATGTCCCAGCAGCCTCCGGGACATCTCCACAGATCCCAAAAGGAGCTTCTGAGAGTCTGCTTCTGAGTGGCTACATAGAATCATAGAATGGCCTAGGCTGGAAGGGACCTTAGAGATCATTTTAATCCAGCCTCCCTGTCGCCAGGGATGCCACCTCTCGACTAGATCAGGCAACACATGAGGACTGAACTGAACTGACAGAATTAGGAGACAAACTCATCAGGGGCACACTGAAACCTCTTGCAAATGCCCACTATTTCTGTCAGTAAGGGAATCCAAGTGGTAGTTTGCAGTTTGAAGATGTAGAAGGGAATGGAGAATAATAATAGCCCCAAGTTTCTTCTACCTTAACCTTCCTGCTCGGTCATCTACAGACCTGGTGTGCAGAATAGCAGCAACAGGTTCCCTCAACAGACCAGCTCCTCATGGCTTGTGCTGCTTGCTGGCACCAAGATAACCTAAGCATCGTGGTGTTTCCCCACCCACTGTTTCTCTGCTGAAAAAAGCAGACCTGTCTTTTTTCTCTCTCTGGCTGTGCCTTTCTGCCCGTTGCACCCATATCCCCATATCAGGGCAAGTGTGGATTGCTTCCCACCCCTCCAGTGGCCCAGTGTGGGAAATGATCCACGTTGCAGCTGCTGCCTGCCCTGGTATGTGTGTAGATGGCTGGGAGCGGGCAGCACAGGAAGGGGTACAGGCAGCAGACTGCAGAAGCTGCCTGTTTATGCCCATTTGCAGCTCTGGTGGGGCTTTCCTTGAGTGTCATTGTGGTGCCCCAGACTGTGGAGTCACTCTGGACAGCCATACTGCACTGCCACCCGTGACATGAGCCCCCAGGTCAGCAGAGATATGCAAGGACACGGCGGGAAAGTCTAGGTGCCTGCCGACGTGTGCCGTGGGGCCAGCCAAAACAGTGTGCCAGGGGGACACTACCACGGTGGAGCAGTTCCCTCTGCTCCTGCCTCAGCTGCTTGCCTCCCTCCACTGCCCGTACAAATGCCAGAGACAGAGAGGCAGGTCAGCCCAACTGTAATTTCACTCATTTTCTTCCCCATGCCTTTTCCAGACATGATCTCTGTTCTGTAAGTCTCCCCCCTCCTTTCAGCAAAATTAGGAGGGTGAAGGTGAGGATATGGCCCTCAGACAAAGTGGTGTGTATGCCAAGATGTGCTGGGACATCTGTGAAGCAGCACAAGCACTATACATGAGTGAGGGTCCCAAGCTTGTCAAGTAAATGACACCCAGGTTTTTGGCACTCAGAGTGACACATTTGGACTTTACAGAGATGTGACAGACTGTGGCTTTTCTCGTGCTAGTCAAGGGGAAAACCATGCACTCCTTTTGCTAGAGTCGTATGAAAACTTTCTAAGCTAGTAAACCACAAAAACTAGACCATGAAGCAGAGGGCCCCTTGATTATTCTCTATCATTTTAATAGAACAACTGGTGGGGAAACCCACGCTCATTTTGCAGACCGTCGTAGCATTTGGGCACAAGTGGTAGGGGCCAAGAAGGGCCCCATGTTCTCTGTAACAAGTTATGGTTGTCAAAATCCAGCCTGAAGCAAGGTTGATTGGGTCTGCTACAGCAGATGGGAACACGTGTAATTGGTGTCACAGTTGGAAGCACAGCTAGGGCTAGGGTACAGCAAAACCACTCCAGTGTGCCTGTGGTGGGAGTAGCTTTGGGGAGTGGTTCTTCTGCCTCAGGGCATAGAGCGGGTCTGCAGACAAGGCAGCTGAGCACATGCGTCTTTCACTGCTGGACAGAACTGTCTTGGCCAAAATCCAGAGAGGGGAAAAATAGTCTTGGTGGTTCGGATCAACCTTAGTGAGAAGAGGTTTCTCTCTGTCAAAAAATGTTTTTGCAGCTCAAGCACCCAGTCACCACAAGTGTGGCATTTGCATATACAAATACCTATCTCTGCTTTTGAGGGCCTTTACTATTTGCTTTCTGGTTTGAGGGATTTTAACATTTTCTTTTGCAAACTGTGCTAGGAATGTGGATCTATTGGGGAGGGCGGAAATGGAGCTCATCTCATTATATTCTCTTTACTGTAGAAGCAGCACTCAGAAACATGCCTCACCGTTCTAAGAGTAGCAATAAAATCACAAGAGCTACCAACATGAATTCACCTGCTTTCAGCCTTCTTAGTTGGGGCTATAGGAGTCCAGAATTTGCCTCTTACAAAATACACATTAAAATTATGCATCTGTATTTATATATCTATTAATCCCATAATAATTACCTTTTAATTGAAAATGTCAGAAATTCAGTTCCTTCTCTGCCATCTGCTAAAACCTGACATGGCTCTGAAACAATTAATGATGCAGCAGCCTTAGACAGAAAATCAGCTCAGCATTTTTCTTCTACTCATGTGGCGGAACGCCAGCCACAGTAGCATAAACAAAGGGCCCCTGAGCTCTTACATCAAGGCATTTGGGGCAGTGAGAATCTTGTCTTCAGATCATTTTGTTCTAAAACATGTTTTCTGTTTTTAAGGTAAATGTCCTGTATGTCTTGCTAGGGGTTTGACATCTTGACAACCTGTAAACTGACTCTGCTGCTGCTTCGGAAGACGTTGCTGATGTTGCTGAGATCATCGGCACATTGGTAGGAGGGCTGTGCCTGTAGTTGTCAAACTTACTGGTGAGCTCTGCCACAGGAATATGTCTCACCTTTTCTTTCCTCACTGGAAGAGGAACCTCTCTGCTCTGCAAGTCATCATCACAGCCCTTGAGTGGCTCTCTCTAACCATCTCAAGCCCCTGCTTGTTTGCAGAGGCAAAGTCAGGCAAGGTGTATTTCTTATAGGGAAAATAACAAATTTACAGTTTCAGTGCTAACTATGTAGCAAATTTATGCCTTTCCTTTCACTATTAAAATCTCAATTTGTTTTTTTTCTGTCTTTATATCATGTCCTTGAAATTTCCAGGTACTTTATCACTGGTTATTTAACAGTTCTCCTTGTATAAAAGAAATAAAGGAATTTTGCTCAGTTTTGTAGGTATGAGCTTCTCTGGTGCACATCAGGTGTTTTGCTTGCAGGGAGATTCTTACTTTTTTAACGGTTTGACACAGTTTTCCTATAACCTGTTCTTTGAAAAGAAATTCAACTACAGGAGTTTGTGAATGGCACCCAGTTCCCTACCTCAGGCAACTGGCTGGTGCCTAACAAAAGAGTCTTCCTAAAACAAGCATCTGTTTTCCTTGTAGACCTGAGGCAGTTACATCTGGGACACTTGCTTTTTCTCTGCTGACATGAGAGGAAGCAGAGATGTCGAAGACTGCTTACCTTAGGAGCTTAAAATTTACGTGCAAATTTTTGATGTTTCAGTAAGTGTAGAATATGTTCCACCTCTTAGAAGTGATTTCATGCATAGTACTATATTCCTGTGGCTTTTGTCAATTTTTGTGAAGAGCTGGCATTGTTTTTGTTTTTATGAGTTTTTAGACTATTGTAAGCCTCCCGCTTCTCCGGGAGGACACAGATTTATGTGCATTGAGCACTGACATGCAGAGCAGAGTATGAAATCACATGTTTTGAAAGCACTTCTGCAAATCATTAATTTAATAATTGAAGACTACAGTCCTTCCATAACATGTTCGTTGTTCTTTTATCAGAACTCAGATGTTTCCCAAGTGCCAATATGCATTTTGAAATGAATGATGGTCTAAAAACCATCTTCATTGACTGTAAACCTGGGGGTGCTCAAAGGCAGAAGAATCAACTTCAAGCCAGCTCAGCTGGATAAAATGGTGACTGGAAGACCACAATAGCCAGGATACAGAGCATTTGTTTTCAAAGAGGCATTGCTGGGATCTTCATTTTGCTTGCAGCCAAATGGACATCTTGTGTGCTTTTTGTTGCATGCTGAGTATCAGTCATTAAACGTTAAGATCTCCATCTAAAAGGTAATAGTGCCTGTCCATCATGCAGAATGTCCTATCATGCTGGCAAAATGGATTTTTATTGAAGATGTAAGTAGTGCTGCAGGCCTGTGATGGAGCTGAAGCTGAATTAGGTTACGGGTGCATAGGAGTGGTTCGTAACTGAGACTCCCTGGGGAGCAGGGAAAGTCCCCTGGGACAGTAATCGTGCCTAGGCCTCAGATGGCTTGTCTTGCTTCCATTTTCGCTCCTTATGAATTATTCTTCCCTGCTATTTGGGAAGGTCATAGGTCAGTACTGCTCCAAATCCCCTGATTTTTGACAGAAAATGCATCTCATGAATAATGAATATGGCTTTGTGCACACCAGGGTAACAGCTGAGTGGGGAAGAACGGATCCTCTTCGCAGAAGGAACTTCTCTGTGTGTTTTGAACAGCTCATCACCATGCACAGGAAGTCTATTTGTATCTGCAAGTGTTAGTAGAGGCTCCTAACCAGAGGCCACATGCTCAGGAAAAGCTGAGAATGATGTCTTGCACGCTCCCAGTCCCAAACAGTGACAGTATTTGGAATGAA